GAATTTATGTGATAAATGAACAAGCTAAAACTGAGTCTAAATCGGAGCTAGATGTCAGGGTTTCGTGGCTCTTCTGACCAATTCAGTTAGCAATCTGAGGTGGGAAGACCTGCACATTTAATGTGTAAAGGGTATGATACTCTGGTATGTACACCCAGCCTTTAAAGAAAGCTTTGAATTTGAAAGCCACTTAAAAATGGGCAGCAGAGGGCAGCAGCACAGAAAACCCATGTACTCGATAGCAAAAGTAATAGTTTACTAATGGGAAGTGCCAGGTGCCAACGTGCTTGGTCCTTCCTGGGGAAGTGGTATGCATAACACTATCGGTCAGGTTACGGGGTGCTTGTAACTGGTCTCCCCCTGCTGTTCAGGAAGCGTTAGAAACTGCATTCCAGTTAAATTGTACTTATACTGTAGACTGTGTTTTGGTTGTCTCTGCTGTGGGGCTGATCTAAACACTTCTGAGATCTACATATTTTGCTGAGGGGCTTAAAACTCTCCAACTCTGTTGAACGCAAGTTTTTTTCTTTTTCCCCAGTTGTGTTGATAGCTGGTGTGGGTCAGCTGTAATTGTCTAACTTCCAGCACAAACGGTTCACTTCACCACAAACGATTCCCTGGAATCTCTTCTGCTGCACTCTTTCTTCAAATAAAATTCCAAAGCAAGAGCAGTAAGAGGGGGAAGCAAAGACTTGTGCCCAGAACTTGCTGCTTGTCCTGCTCATTAGGCATCACTTTCCCCAAGCACAAGTACATTTATTGTACTTGGAACTAAACTCAATGGCTTTCATACTGCATGTATAACCCTTCATGTTCCCAGAAGCACTGTAGCCACACTTGCCAGCATCACAAATAGAATTCTTCCTTTTTAATGACTATGCCCTATTTTTTTTATTCTTTTTTTTTTCCTGTATAGACAGAGGAGAACTGTTTGTATGGGGCAAGAATCTAAGAGGGTGCCTGGGAACTGGAAGAATGGAAGACCAATATTTCCCATGGAGGGTAAGGACGGTGGTATTAAGGCCAAGAGTGTATTCTTTAGCTAGTCTTTGTTATCCTGAGGGCAAGAAACATCATATGCTGCATAGTTTTGTTGAGTAATTTTGTAAGAAGGGGAAGCCTAAGATGACTGTAGAACTGCTTTGTTTTCCAGAGATCTTTGCCTAGCCTGCTTAGAGATGGGAGGTATTGAGTAAATTTTTTGGGTCTTCTGATTCTGCTATTTCAGTATAGATTTCAGATCCCAAAGCAAAATCTGGTGCTGTGCCATCACTTCTGAACAGTTCTTATCTTCCTCCTATCCACGGTCTTCTACTTGCTGCCCCTTACTGCCTCTTCCCTCCCCTTCTAATCTGCACTTCACTTTCGTACGTGCTGCAAAGAAAACCACCAGTATTGGTCATCTGTGACCCAAAAGACTTGCATGACACGTCTAAATTAGGTGAACGTTTTGGTCATGGTGGTCAGGCTATAGTGGCAGCAGGTCCACATAGCAGTGGGCTGCCTTCCCCTGCTCCTTTTCCAAGTCAGGCAGCTGTGGTGGTGGGTCACTGGACTGCCTGTGTAGTTACAGTAGGAGATCCTTAGCCACTGAACTGTTTTCGTAGCTGTTTCGCAACACTTCCAGTTCCACTCCCTTCTCTCAGATGGCTCTGAGAGCCAGACTCTGTGGGTGTAGAAGAGGCTTTGGCTCCGGAGTTCAGCACTCAGCCTAACAGATGTTCCCAGTCTCCATGAAGGCCAAGTAGGAGAGGAGGGAGGCAATCAGTTGGACCACCCTGGAGTCCTTTTCTGTGTGTCTGAACTTGCAGTGGATGTGTTTCTCTGGCATGTGGAGCATTTGCCTAAAATCACACTGCTGTGGCTGAGTGGAGCCTCTGAATTCACCAAACGTGGCACGTCCAGGTTCCCCTAAGTGTGGACACAGAGAATTATGCTCCCTCAAACAGCCAGCTCCTGTCTGACATTACTACGGCAATGTACCGAAACAAGGGCAGTTACCAGGGTACTTGTCTGTGACCTCCTGCCCTAGAACTGGCCATCTCTCCTTTCCCTTAGCTCTAAGGAAAACTTCCACTTGTAGCCTCTGCTCTCCTTGAATTTGGAGTCAACTTTTAGTGGAAGAGCTATAATTACACTAGTGAGTGAGCTGGGTCTGCTTAGCATCAAAGCAAAAACTGCCTTAGGCTGAGTTGAGCTTTTGCCTCGTTCCAGTCCTTGCTGATGAGAGAGGAGGCAAATCCTTGTGGTGCAAATCCTTGTGGTGCTTGGGCAGATCCTCTTCCTGCTGTCTGGATTACTCTCTGTTTGGTCGTGCTGTTTCTGCTGCTGAACAGATGGGCTGAGGCTAGTTTCCTCGCTGTCTGCTAGTGAGACCTCTCTTTCTGTCCTTCCGAAGGTTTACGTGCTTCTGTGAAGGGAGAAAGGGAATATTTCACAGCTCAATGCACAAACGTGTCTGGTGCTGAATCTTGCTTTCTGTGCGTTTTCAAGATGGCACTTTCATAGGTACAAGTCCCTGTGAAACCAGCCGGCATGTTAAGCAGAAGGAGGATGAGAAATAGGAAGTATCAGGTGCAAAGTACCAGCTTGAGAAATAATCCACTCTGTGTGTGTCTGATCCAGGTGACTGTTCCCGGTGAGGTGGTGGATGTTGCATGTGGAGTTGATCATATGGTAAGCATGGCTAAGTCTTTCACCTAGTGATATCGCTGGGCCTCAGCACTGTGCTAAGAAGACAGGGGGACTTGGTGACGAGTTTCTTGGAAAGGAAGACTCATTCTGTGAAGCCAAGCAAGAAGTGACTGTGAGCAGAGACAGCCATAGCAGTGCCTGGGTGTGTTTTCATTTGCATCATTGAAATGCTCTGGCCTGGCTGCAGGAAGGATGTACGTTCCCCGAGGAGAGTGGAAATGCAGGGAGTGCTTTGGCTGGTTCATGATGAGCTCCCAAAGAGACTGAGGCCCAGCCCACAGCTGATGAGTCCCTCTGTGTGTAAGGATGAAGAGCATCTCCCTCAGGGAAAACTGGCACGAAGTGAAATCTGTAGCACAGGACTCGTTTATGGATGCTTTCCCTGTCACCAGCTCTGGGGTGTCGGTGTTGGGTTGAGCCAAACTATTTCTCAAGGGAAAGGGTTTTTTAATAACTGTTTTTTATGTGGAAGAAAAGTCGTGCCGGCTGTTGGAGTTCAGCACAGCCGTCCTCGGCATCCGCCACCAGCTGCACTCTGCCCAGGCTGCTGTTCCCTGTGGAAGCTGGATGCACGGCCGGTGGCCTGGAGACAGTGGTGTGCTAGCAGGGAAAGGAGTCTTAATGGGCAAGAAGGCAGAGCCTTGTTTCTTGGTACTTTCTTAGCAGAGAAGTTGTGGTGAGCGCGTTTAGGACACAGTAGGCTGCTGGAGGTGGGATGCAACAGCTGTATGTACCTGTAGCAGGCACTTACCAAATCTCATCCAGAAGTGTGGGAAACTGTCTCCTGTGAAATACACCAAACATCAGGCAGCAGAGTTGTGTAACTTTTTTCTGTGTGGGATACTTCTACTGTGTAAATTATTTTGGCAAAAATCCAAGCTGATAATGTTTTTAATAAAGTGGTAATGGAAATATTCTTGAGCTTGACTTCACACACGGGCTGCTCAGTCTTGCAGCCTGCATTTAAACTTAAGCATTTTGGTTCACAGTGATGTGACAGGAAACCTCGCGTGTCAACTGAGGCACCTCTGCACCTGCAGGACTGATACTGTTGTAGGCAGGCACTGTATCCACCGTCCCAGGGGACACCACGTACTCACACTTTGGCTCTGTTATCTGAAATTCTGTATCAAATCTGTTGTGTAATTACCAAAATTCAGGGGTGAACTACCTTGATGAAGTAAGTCTTGAAGGACTTTGCATAAAATATAGGAGAGTTGAAACAAAGTACACAGAAATAGAGATGTATATGAGTTGTTATTAACATTACTGTGTAACTGGTATTGCTGTGGGTTGAGGCAGAACAAGCAGAAAGCTACCTTTAAATTGTGGCAGACCTTCACTGCAGTGAATTCCTATTAAGTTAGTTTTAATTTACACCACCTTCTACATGCGACTTGGGCAACTTGAGCTGCCCAAACATGTCTTGCTGGCCTCATGGGAGTAGCTGTGCCCTTTTAACACGAGGAAGCGTATTAAAGCATTGGAAACAAATGGAAAAAAATCTGTGGCGAGAAAGGTGTTTCTAACAACCCCCTTCATGGATGTTGCTGTTTGAGGAGGGCTGCACAGGATCATAGAATCCTAGAATAGTTTGGGTTGGAAGGGACCTCTAAAGGTCATCTGGTCCAACCCCCCTGCCGTGGGCAGGGACATCTTCAACTAGATCAGGTTGCTCAGAGCCCCGTCCAGCCTGACCTTGAATGTTTCCAGGGATGGGGCATCCACCACCTCTCTGGGCAACCTGTTGGCTGGTTACTGCTGGGGAGCACTGCAGGCTTTTAGCTGCTCTCCTTCACAAGTGTTTCCTGATGCCACTTGGGGCTGGGCCTTTTGGAGACCTGGGATGAGAATTAATGCTGTGTCGTATCTGATTGTGTTGCAGTCTTGCTGTGCAATAAATTGCAGAATCTGTGTTAATTAGATGCCAGCAAGGTCTTCAGCCCTAAATAGAAGTGTTGTGTGGCTTAATGCAGTGGGAGCGGGCATTCTCGAACGTGCTGCTTGATGGGAACAAGGTTAGCGGCAGAGAGCCTACGATCTGGCAAACACCAGCACTGACCCTTGTCTTGGTCAGAGTAGTGTGGGGGGTCGACCTTGGCCAGGTGTCCACCAAGCTGCTCTGTCTCTCCCCCTCCGTCAACAGGACAGGGGGAGAAAATACGATGGAAAGCTTGTGCGGCGAGATAAGGACAGGGAGATCACTTACTAGTTACTGTCACGGGCAAAACAGACTCGGGGAAATGAATTTATTGCCAATGAAACAGAGCAGGATAATGAGGAATAAGAACAAACCTAAAAACACCTTTCCTCCACCCCTCCCTTCTTCCCTGACTTTTCTACCTCCTCTCTCGCCTCGTTCACTGACCTTGGTGTCTGCACGGTTGTTTCTTTCACATATTCTCACTCCTGTTTCCCAGCTGCTGTCGTGCAGCAGTTTTTTCCCCTTCTTAAATACGTTATCACAGAGGCGCTACTGCCGTCACTGATGGGCTCGGCCTTGGCCAGCGGTGGGTCTGTCTTGGAGCTGGGTGGAACTGTCTCTGCCCGACATGGGGGCAGCTCCTGGTGTCTTCTCACAGAAGCCACTCCTGCAGCCCCCTGCTACCAAAACCTTGCCGCCCAATGCAAGCGGGCATTGCTGAAATGATTTGATCCACAAGGTCAGACTAGAGTGTGGCCAGAGCCATTAGCGAGGCCGTGGCAGCAGTTGTTTCATTATTCATAGCATCTTGCACTACTTGCAAAGTTGGATGTGGCCTGAGACCCCCAGGCCCAACACCAACTCCCGGTGTACTTACATTTGCTCAACTGTTTTGTACAGAGGGGCCAGTGTGCGAAGTGGACGGCGAGAGCTGCCAGCGTGGCAAGTGTAACGGCACGCTGTACTGCATGTCGGCTGGGCAGAGACCTGCCTCCAGCAGGCTGCTGGGTGGGCAGCACAGATCGTCCTGCCCGTGGGGTGGCTGCATGGGTAGGATGGGTCAGCAAAAGCCTGAACAGGCAGCAGCGTCCAGAGTTGGATGTCAAATACATTCTCTCTCACTTTTTTTTAATCAGCCTAACCATAAGAAAACTTCTGGGACCGGGTGTTTTTGTCCCCTCCATCCCTGCCGGGGCAGAGCTGAGGCCAGACTGCAGAAACCCGATGCAGCAGAGCCTAGCTAATGAAAAGTGCCTTCTGTAACCCTCACTCCCAACCCTTGCTACCTCCTGTAACGTCAAAACCCAACCCCATGTTCCCCATCTGTCAGCTGTTGGTACTCTCCTCGGGTAAGAAACAGGCTATAGTTTCTCTTCCTACATACCCCAAACCAACCACATCGTCCTCCTGGACCATGAGCAGGGACCGTCTGTGCACTCTTCACGCGGCAGTAGTCTGGCCGAAGTAGCGATCTGAACCGTGGGTGGGTTTGTTGCTCTCCTGCCCTGCCTCCAGCAGGTCTTGCGTCGCAGCTGAAGTGCTGGCGGGAGGTGCTGAGCTCGTGGGCTGGAGCTGCAGTTCCCAGGTTGCTCGTCACGCTCTGCTCTTGTACCGGCAGGATCCTGGAAGTGCAGGGACAGTTGTGCTGGGCTGACGCTGAGCCCCCTTTCCTCTGCTTGCTGGGGAAAGAAGTCTAAGTGGCAGAAGGTTCCTCGGCGTGATAACAGAGGGAAGAACATTATCTGCAATGTCATGTTTTCTAATTGCCAGCGTCATACTGTGAATGTTGAAATGCAGGTGGAAAAAGGTTGGCGTTCGTAGTTCCAGCTGCCCTCTGCAGCAAATGGCAGGGGTAGAGGGAATGCTGGCTTCAGCGCCGCCTGGGCTGAGCTGCCGTCCTGCCCTGTAGCCCTACAATCCAAACACACGTGAAGTAATCCTCTGCTCCCTGCAAGCCTTCAGCGTGAAGCACTAAGTAAACCTAAAGCCCCTGCGGCCCTTGCGAACGGCGGTCGCGGAGAAGAGGGTGTTTGGCCACTGTCTTTGCATCCTTGCTCAGTTGTGGAGCCTCACGGTGCTGCCAGGGTGGTATTTGCCTGTTGGATGAATAAAGACCGAATGGAAACCCTATGTCCAGCCCCGTGCGGTGCAGCTGCCCCGCTTTCCATCTGAAAGGGCTCCTCTGAGCCGCCTGCCAGCGTGCCTGGGGA